ACACACACACACACACACGGTTTGATTACATCTCTCAGAGTATTGAGCTGTATTTCAGGCTCAGGCCAGGAACGAAAGCTAACACTGATGTAGCCTGTGTGTGATACTCACTTCAAACCGTGGTCGTCGGGGTTAAATCCATGCTTTCTGCACACATCCTCCAGCACCTGAAGATGACAAACATACGCTGAATCTCACAGATTACGAGCTGCCACCTGAGGACCAAACTAATTGAATTTCATCCGCAAGAAGACATAAACTGATCTGTCACTGGCTAACGACTGTTAGCCTACCAAGCTAACTCAGAGGAGGGTAGTTTGCTCTGGTTGAGGAACAAAGAAACACAATGAAACAACCCGTCCGACTCCGGCAGCATGCAGTGCTCTTCAGACACTAGTTACCTGTAACAGCGGTGTGTTTGGAGACACTCTGACTGTCTGTCTTCTCCCATTTGGAGTGAGAACCGTCACAGCTGTACCACTGGCTGCCATTGTGTGTCGTGACGTCGCGGTGTTTATTTGAATAAACTTTATTGAGTCTTTACAACCAGAGTTTAAAGGGCCAGTTCAACCTGAATGTGAGGAGGTATTTCTTTACAGGGGGACATGGGATTGTGTTGTTTGTGGTGCTCACAGCAGTGAAAGTTACAGTTATTACAACTACAATGGGTCTCCCTTTGATTTACATCATTTACATCATTTCCACAGATCTCACGGTTTTTATAGAAACTATGTTCTCACGACATATTCTGCAATATATTAAAAACATTAAATAAGTCACAAATGCAGATGATGCTTCTTTCACCTTTTGTATTAATTTAGTTTTGAATATATATATACAGGGAATTGAAAAATTGAAGAATAAACTTGAAGAAATGAGAGGAGAAACATAATGTGAGTCCTTTATACAGTGCAGGTGTACTGTGTGATACAATAGGGCCTTTTTTCACATTTTGACATGTCATGGCAGGGAAGTCACAGGTTATACCTACAACAAGAAGTTTTTAACTGGTCATGAAACAGTCTCAGTTTAATACTGATGCCTCTATATCACCTACATATCCAGGCATTTGAATGTGATTATTTCAGTAAGGTTATTTTTAATGCCTGCAACCAGGTTTTATTCGGTCATATTCCCCTTGAAATCAGTGAAACCAGGCAGTGGAAACACTATGACTGTTGTGTACGGGGGTCACTAGAATCAAAAGAGAAATTAAAGTAGTTATGGCTAAATACCCTGGTATGCCAGGTCCAGTTCCTCTATTTGTGTGCACACTGGTTTGCTCATGGGGACATTTAAATTGAGCAATTGTAAATTATATTAATTACACCTGTGCTTTTCCTGCAGTAACAAGTGAAAATATCTGCTATGAAAAATGTCCATGCCTCCATCTCCCAGACAGTAGGAGTCACTGAATAGTTTGATGAGTAAAAAAGTGAAGTTAATCATATGTGATTTCACTCTTATCCGATCTCAACCCAGCTGAACGAGAGAGATTTTGGTGTAAACTGTTAGACAGACACATTTCCCTGGTACAGTATGAGGGTGCACATGTATAACAACATAAAGGGGATTGATAAAAGCAGAGTGAGGCACCTTTGTACAGGAAGTGGTGTCTCTTTTTATGTTTACTTTTTATTACCCATCTCTGCTTGTTGAATCCTTTTTTTCTTTGAGTCTTTTGCGTCTGATAAATACGACATCATTAAGATACTTTTAGATTTTTATTTAATTTTGAAAAGAATCATATTTAAGTTTGACATTTTATGTCCATTGAACTAATGGGTGCTAAAATCTTTGAAGATAAATTAGTTAAATCTCTAAATAAAGCACATAATATTTATATAAAACAACATTAAGATCATTATTCTTGTCCAACACAACCAATCTGGCTTAACAAGCCTTCCTACTTTAACTGCAGTGATGCTCATAACAGAAGAAAATACATCCCGCCTGCTGTTAACTGGCAACAACACGTCCAATCTGTGCCCCATATGGACGACTCCATATATATATATATACCATATATACCATATGCAGTTTGACAGATGACCTGCACAGACAGAGAATCAAGGCCATTTTCAGCAAGAATCAAATTAGATCAAAGCTGGAATAAGGCTGGAAAGACAACGTGACATGTGGTGCAAACAGATGGGGAGGTGTAAGGCCAGAGCTTCAGAGGACACACAACTGACTGACTGAACACTTCAGCAACATTTAGAGTCAGACTCTACCTGGGAAAGAGAGAGAGGTGAATACAGTTCTCAGTTCTGGGGGGAAATTGCCACCGTCTGAATAAACAAACAAACAATCAGTTTCCTTCCTCGCTCAGCAGGCTAGAAACTTCAAAACTGTCTGGATGGAGTGAAAGCACATGCAGGCATCTGTGCTCGGAATTTGTCGTGTTTTAGGCAACATTTCCACACAAAAGAAATATTTAATCCCTGATTAATGAATGGCAAAATAGAACAATAAAACCCCAAAGCCTATCAAAGTCAGAAAACAAACTATGACCGTATGTTGCTGAATGTCAGACTTACAGATGAATCTTGTTTTAAATACTGATTTAAACAGTTTCAGTGGAAGTGAACTAAAGCAGAGCTTTAAGACTTGAATCAATACATGAGATATTGGATTTCAGAGAGTAAAACAGTACTTTAGATTAGAATTACGCAGAGAAACCTTTTTACAAACAGATCAGGATGCTTCAACCAGACCAGACCTCATTATCTGATGTCAAGCTGTTATGTGGAAAATCATAATTTGGAGGGAAAAGTAAGTCAACGTCACACTGCTTCTAATAATGAGTAATAAAGAGGTTTTGAAGCAGTGGCTCTTTGAACTGTGGGGCAGGCCCCACTGGTGGGGCATGGAGGCACTGCAGGAGGAGCGAGGATGACCAGTGTGGAGTGAAACTAAGTTGAATGAATATGATTTATGCGGGGAAAATAAACAAACAAGACTCTTACTTAACCTCAACTTGTGTCCTTTTTTATTAGCGACCCCCAGAATTTTGGTTGGTGTGAACTTTTCAGGCTTCTGAAGGGGGGCACGCAAGAAAAAGTTTGAGAACCACTGTTTTAAAGTTTAGAGTGGTTGTAACTGGAAATAAAGTTGAAACCAGAAAGTCCC